CTCTACCCTGCCCTGTGGGTTCCAGGGATCAAACTCAGGTCGGCAGGCTTGGTGACGAGTGCCATTTCACCAGGCTCCTGGTTTTTTTTTAGGATAGGATCTCACTCTGCAGCTCAACCTAGCCTCAGACTCCCAACAGCCTTGCCTCAGCCTTTTGAGTGTTGAGATTATAGGCATGACCACTATGTCAAACAAAAGGAAACGTTGATATTTCTAACTTCATGCTGGTGTTTATATGTGTTATATTGATATGCTTTAGCAGATCAAAAGGTTTGGTTCTGTTTCTACCCGTTAATAACTATCTGTAACTACCTGTTAATGACTATCAGCATATACTCATTGTACATAGTGATGGGTTTCATAAGGATATTTTCATTCAGATGCATCATCTACTTTGACCACAATCACTACATACCTGCTACTCTCCCCTCATTCACCCTCTCCCACTAGCTTCTTCCCCAGATAGTCCTTTCCACTTTCATGCATATATATATATATATATATATATGTATGTGTGCATATATATTTCTACACACACATACATATATGTGTATATATATATATATATATATATTCCATGTAGTAAAGAGAACATGTAACAATTAAAAATAATAATTCTTAGATCCTGTCTCAAAAAAACCAAAATAATAACAAATAATTCTTTCTTTTTAATTTTTTAGACTTATTTATTTTATGTGTATGGATGCTTTGCCTGCATGCACACCTGTTCACCACACATTTACAATGCCTGATGAGTCCAGAAGAGAACATTAGAACCCCTTGGAGCTGGAGTTACAGGCCACATGGGTGCTGGGAATAGAACCCAGGTTCTCTGGAAGAGCAGGTAGTGCCTTTAGCCACTGAGCCATCTCTCCTGCCCCAATAATAACAATTCTTATGAGCCATCAAGATGGCTCACAAGATGTTGTTTAAGACAAGTTCTCACTCTGTACCCTAGGCTGTCCTCAAGCTTGGAGCAATCCTCCTGTCTCAGATCTCCTGGTATGCTAGGATGACACGTGGTGGTTTCAGCGAGCTAACTGACAATATATATAAATATAAAACAAGCACCACAGTAAGCTCTTCAGCAGGCATCCAAACCCAATTCAACCTCTAGAACTTGAGTATGGTCCTTTAAAAAGCCACCTATTAACAATAAAAAAAATTAAGATAAACACACAATGACAAGGCCAAATGACCTTTTTAAACAGCATATAGTCAGGCAATGTGGCACACGACTTTAATCCAAGGACTAACAAGACAAAAGCAGGCAGCTCTCTGTGGCTTGCTTTTGTTTGTTTTTGTTTGTTAGTTTCTTGAGACAGGGTCTCCTTGTGGATCCCTTGCTGACCTGTAACTGGATATATACCCAGGCTGGCATCATACTTAGAGTTCCTCCAGGCCAGCAAAGCTAAACAGTGAGACTTGTTCTCTCTCTCTCTCTCTCTCTCTCTCTCTCTCTCTCTCTCTCTCTCTCTCTCTCTCTCTCTCTGAATATGTGTGTGTGTGTCTGTCTGTCTGTCTGTATATATCCCCCAAAGAACATTCTTGAGACAGCCTAGAACCAAGTTAACTGAGAACTCACCGAGGAATGGGAGTAACAGAAGCACCAGCTCTATAAAATTAACTTTGTAGACTGTTAATGCACAGCAAACTAAAGATGTCCTAACACTAAAGAGCTGTCATGATTCCACAGGAAATTATCACTGCACTTGGAGAAAGCAATCCACTGCAGTGAGCCTAGCCTTCCAGAAGTCTCTGAAACAGCTAGCACTGTTGTGGGGGAAGAGTGTTAACCCTGGGGTCACACCTTTCCTCCCTGATGAGTCCCTGTGAGGAGCTCCAGGCAGCCATGACCGACAGTCAGCTGATTCACAAAATGAATCTCTATCTAAATTCTGTATGGGGAACGCCCCCTAACCTAACAACTTAGTAATGAAGATGACTGCTTACATTACCTCCCACCCAGTGTCCACGATCAACAGCATACCCGCTTTAACTAGAATAACATTGCTTAGGAGAAACTGGGAGGATCAATGTGCGAAAATGCCACCAGACTCACTGCTTTGGACACCAACTTAAAACCAATTCAAAGTTCTGGAGACGAGCGTGGTGGGTGAAGAGCTTGACTAGCGTAAAGACTGGAGGTAGTGGTGCGTGCTTGGAATCCTAGAGCTTGGGATTCAAATCCTAGAGGAGAAGGGATTCAAATGTGTAAGATCATCCTCAGCTACACAACAAGATAAGGTCAGCTTGGGCTACATGAGATCCTGCCTCCCCAAAAAGAGCCTTTTTTTTAATTAAAAAAAAATGAAAAGAAAGTAGACCTCTTTTGAAAACAAACTTCCCCAATTATCAAGAAACTCACCTCTGACACTACATATCACATCAGTAATTCAAAATATGAACTTGGGAGGCCAAGACAGTCTGAAGTCAGTTCAGATGTCAGATGGGACTGTGTACTGAGTTCTGAGTTCCCGGCTAGCTTGGGCTATAGTATGTGGTGCATGTGTGGGGGTGGGGTGTATTGTATGTAGTGTGTGTGTACACGGTGTGTGTAAGTGGTGGGGGGGTAATGTGTGCTGTGCATGCTGTGTGTGTTTGGTGTTTTGTGTGTGTGTGTCTGTGTGTGTGTGTGAGTGTGTGTGTCTGTCTGTGCGTGCGCGTGCGCGTGTGCATGTGTGCGTGTGTGCATGTGTGCGTGTGTGCGTGTGTGCGTGTGTGTGTGTGTGTGTGTGTGTGTGTGTGTGTGTGTGTGTGTGTGAGTTGCTTGGGTTTAAACTCATACATATGTGGAGAGAGAGAGAGAGAGAGAGAGACTATCTCTGAAGTTTCTTTCTGCTCTAGATAGTAAACTCAGGGCCCTGTCAAACAAACTCAAGGTCAGAGCCTGGATTGGCAATCAGCTCATCAAACGTAGTAATTTGCCAGCTAAGAACAACCAGGTGGTGACTCCCTCCTTGCCATATCTTTAGCTGTCCAAAAAGATTAAAGCAAGAAAGGCAGTAATAAGCACCTAGAAGCCAGTGTGTATGATTCCCCTTATCTGGTTCTCCAAAGGGCACTGCTGCCCAGGAAACCAGCCCAGTAATTTCAGGAGCACGGGCTGGAGAGGATCATCTGCCATGTGTGGAGTGAGCACGTTAGAATGTCTAACGGGGGAAGAAACTAAAACTCACAGTGTGACAACACTGTGTAATGGTGACAGGAAGAAAGGACAGACAAAAACCATGAGGGCTGGCTGGCAAGGTGGTACACGCCTCTTCTGGGAGCCTGAGGCAGCAGGATCCAGAGTTCAAGGCCAGTCTCAGCTACATGGTGAGATGCCATCTTGGGGAAAAAAAAAGTGTGAAGCAGACTGGAGATAAAGAATCTAATATAGCTTCAAGGATTCAACAAAGAAATAGCCACAAAGAGACAGTCCAACAGGATCTGGAGGAAAGCATTAGCAGGCAGCCATGGGCTAGAGATATGCATCTAGGAACCACTCCTTTACTAAGAAAAGGCAGAGCTAAGTCCTATAGGAGGACAAAAAGTACAGGCCAAAAAAAAAAAAAAAAAAAAAAAAAAAAAAAAAAAAAAAAAAAAAAAAAACATACAAACTAACAAAAAACCTGCACAGCTGTAGGTGGTGGTAGAGACACTGGAGAAACGAAGACAGCAACCATACCAGTCATTTAATCGTAGCAAACACAGCACACCTAACACACAGGCACCCTGCTGAGGGCTCCCTGTACTGATGTGTTTTAAAACAACTATGTGGGGCAGTGTGGTAGCACATGCCTTTAATCCCAACAGTTGGGAGGCAGAGGCAGATAGATCTCTGAGGCCAGCCTGGTCTACAGAGTGAGTTCCAGGACATGCTCCAAAGCTATACAGAGAAACCCTGTCTCAGAAAAACACACACACATACACCCCTAAGTGGAAAGCTAAGTGTGATGCCTCTTATCCAGAAAACCAGAACCTCAGGAGCCTGAGGTAAATGGACTGTCAAGAATTAATGAATTTCAAAGCCAGCTAGGGCTCCAAGAGTGACAGCCTATCTCAAAACCAAACCAAGGGTTGGGGATTTAGTTCATTTCAAGGCCCTGGGTTCGGGTCCTCAGCTCTGAAAAAAGACAGACAGATGAAAATGATATGCAAATAGGTGTTGGTACTTCTACTTGGTAGATGAGTAAATAAAGTACAGAGGTCAGATTACCTTCTTAGATCAGATACTAAGAAACAGGGATGAGAGTTGGGTACCAAATCTAGGCAGATCTGTACAGCATGCGGGGGCCTCTCTTCATTAAGACCACTGCTGTTTCTCACACTAAATTCAAACAAACCTTTGAACTCTGAATCTCACAGCTCTTGCCCCGCTGCATGGAGAGGCCCTCTGAATTTTACTAAAGACCTGGATAAACTCAAGCTGAAGTGGAGTGTGGAAACTAACCGAAGGCCCAAGCTGAGGGCAGAGAACCTTTGCGAGGGTCCCTGGTTAGATAAAAAAAATCCCCATGACTCCACTAAAACAAAATCAGATTCTTCTTCTGCCACCCAGCCACCGGTTTCTTATCTTGGGCATGAAGTGGAACATGATGCCTCTGTAGGACCTCTGAAACCTGGGGCTGTAAAAACTCGAGGGAAGTAACAGCTCCAGAGGCATAGTGGGTAATAAATCTGCTGATACAGCAATTGGCTGTCATAGAGTTCATCCAGTAAGTAAAAAATAGCAGCGATGACAGAACCCAGGTGGAAGGGTTCCTGTGAGGTGGACTGGTGCTCTTGGTTGGGATCAGCCTGGCTCTCCCCGCAAATAGCGACGCAGTCTTTCTTGAAACAGCACATTAGAAACTGAAATACTCTCTCGGGTCCCTGCTCCATCCCCACTCCCCACCCCTAACCCCTACCCCCGACCCTTTGCTCAAAATGCTCCCACAGTTCTAAGTCCAGGCACTCAGCCGCTCCCGGCTCCCTAAGTTCTCAGAGCAGCCGGGGCTCCACATCCTTCCCGGCACTCACTCACCTCCAAGGTTTTCACCAGGATCTTCATGTAGATCTCCGAGATGCCTAGAGACAATCCGAAGGCCGAGGGCAACAGGATGAGGCCGACCACCAGCGTCAGCCAGGTGGACAGGAGCTTCATCGCCAGGTCTGCGCCCTCCATGTCTCGGCGCGCCCTCTGGGAGAGGTCCCCAGGAGATCCGAGCGAGGTAGGTAGCTATCCGAGTCCCAGGCTGTCCAACGCAGCTCGGAAAACACAGCCAAACACCGCGTCCCACCTGGAGCTGGGCTCCGGGGCGTCCGCGCTGCCCGCCTCACTCCCTTGGCTCTGCAGAGCGAAGGGGAGAGGGAGGGAGAACTCTCAGAACTACCGCGATCTCCTTCCCCGCTCCTCTTGGGTCCCCGCTGTCCCCGAGGGCTAACTCTCCACCAGAGGCCCAGGCCAAGCTGTGGCCACCGCCGCGGGAGCAGACCTGAGTGGCCGGGCGAGGAGACCCAGCTGGCGGCGACCTCGGGGACACCCTGGCGCGGTCAGAGCTCACGAAGGCAGCCAGGAACGCGCCCCACCCCGGGCCTGATTTCCTCCGGGTGGCGATTGCGACAACCCCGCGGTGACTCACCGAGGCCCTGGGGCAGTGAGGATCCCTGCAGGTTCCCTGCACCTCCGCGTGGGCTGCGGGCTCTGCGGGTAGCCAGCCGCTTGCTTTCAGGTGCCGGGAGCCCTTTTTCTGCACTCTGCCCTTGCCCCACCCCCCTCGCCACCCAACGGGGAGCTTCCCTGGCACGACCGCGTCCCGGGGGCACCGCTGCCTGGAGAGCCGCCGCCCTCTGCCCCGCCTCTCCCCCGCCCCCGTGCCCTGCGCTCCCAGCGAAGGTCCTTTGGGGAGCAGACTCTCCATCTTCACCCATAGAATGAACCCCTGACGCGTCCCGGAAGCTGCGGGAAATCTCGTTTTGTGAGCGTGCCAAACGACCTCCAGGGAAAGGCTTTCCGGAGGAGGAAACTGCAGGGCAAGGTGAGCAGTCACACGCCGCCGCTCCTGGCTCCCCCACATCTCCTTCCTTACCCTAGCCAGCCGCAGGGTTGACTCTTAACTGAGCAGGGAAGGAGAATGGTCGTTCGCTCTCTTTCTCTGCACAAGTCGCCTTAACCACCCTGCCAACACCTACCTGGCACAGAATAGACCCAGAAGACTGGAGTGGCAGTGTCGCAGGACTGTAATTCCAGCACTCGCACTCAGGAATCTGAGACTGGAGAAGGGTCTGGGCTGTGCAGCATTCCAATAGTCCGCCTAGGGCTAAATAGCCAGATCCCTTAAAAGGGCGGGCGGGGGGGGGGGGGTGCTGTTTGTCACTCCCCTCCCTGGAGGAGATTCCAGCCTAAGCTTCCCTGGCATACACCCACATTCAGAGCACAGACTGCAGAAAATGCTGAGCAAATGCTAACCTTCACACAACCCGCACAAGCTTCCCGGGGGTCCGCGTCCCACGCCGCTAGGGTGCTAGCGGTTACCAGAACAAAGAACAAAAATTGCTGCACGTGTATTCCGCCACAGCTCAACCAGTTTTAAGAATAAGCCTGAGAAGGGATGCCGACTGAAAGCAGTAGCGGGCCAACTGCCGAGGGCTCAGACCATCACTGAATCGGCTCTAAATTCTTAGGACCAAACTCGTTGAACAGTTGACAGTCGGGAATTATTCGGGGAGCTGTGAAAAGTCGGAGGACCAGCAAACTGAATAGAAAGTGTTAATAGTAAATATTGCAGAGAAAGCTGCTGCCACCCGCAGGGGGCGTGGAGGAAGACGGAAGCGCCTCTGCACCTCCTACCAGCAGCCCACACTTTCCTCACTAGGAAGTTGTGAAGGAAAAAGTGTCAGGAGCTTATTCTCAAAACGTCTGGGGCCAGTGAGACCGCTCATCAACAAATGTGCCTGCTGCCAAACACACTGAACTGTTTGGACCCCCATGGTGTACACGGAAAACCAATCTACCCCCTGACCCCAGGTGCTCCAGGACATGCCTCACACACACAAGATAAATAAAACATAATTTAAAAATTGGTTTTTGAGGAGCATCTACCAGGCACGATAGGAAAAACCTGTACTCCCAGCACTAGAGAAATGGAGGAGCATCTACCAGGCATGATGAGAAAAACCTGGAATCCCAGCACTTGGGAAATGGAACTCCTCTTGGACCAGGAGTTCAAGGCCAGCATGGGCTGTATGAGACTGTCTCGAAAACACAAAAGAAACATCTATGTGCAGAAATAAACATTTCTAGAAGCTGGCCAACATATCTCTGTGTATACATGTGTGATGTATATATTTAGCTCACAATCTAGGATCTACTCGCTCATTTAATACTGTCCAGGTAAAATATCTAGCCTCCCTTATTTCCTCCAACCAAAATGACTAAGGGAAGCTGAACAGTCCACCCATAGTGCCCCCTGCAGAGGAAACACACAGGCAGCCCTTGTTTCTGCTAACACACGGGGGTGCTGAATGCATCCACACCCCAGTAAGTTTTCTTGTTCATAACCAAACTTGTGGTTTGGGGTTTTGATTAGGAATGGCTCTGTAAGCAAAGCTGGATCCGGAAATCGGAAATGTGCAACAAGGGCAGTGTTCCTTCTCACCTGAACACTGCAAAGTCAGAACAGTCTTGCAAAAGACACAGGCTCACCTTGGCAACCTTAGGAAAGGAGAGGCTTTACCTCCTAGGAACCTCCTTCCCTTCCTGCCTGGAGTTTTTACCTTAATGGAAACAGAAATCTGAAATCGAGGTGTCTGTCATGCAGGGTCAGGCTCCCCTCTAAAACCCTAAGGGAGAAGCCTCTTCAAGCTTCTGTTGTTCACAGAGGCCTTGGGTTTGTGTAACTCCAGTCCCCCCCTACAGTGCTGGTGTGACCTTCTTGCTAGGCAAACTCTACCACTGAGCTACATCCTCAGCCTTTTTCTTCTCTTACAAGGACATTTAATCCTGGCTTTAGGGCCCACACTAATCTAGAAAGAAGTTATCTAAAAATCCATCACTATTTAGGCCTGCATGATGGCACACACCTTTAATCCCAACACTCAAGAAAACAAGGCAGGTGGGTCTCTTTGAGTTAAGGCCAGCCAGGGCTACATAGTCAGACCTTGACTCAAAACAAAACAAATAATACTGGTTACTGTGGCTGAATAGGACAGAGAAATTATAGGGACACAAGAAGGGAGAGTGGCCTTTCATCCCTAAGTCTGAGTGAAGTTTCTAGAACTCCAGCACAATTAACATTTCATTCTATTTTGTCTTCCTTCCTTCCTTCCTTCCTTTCTTCTTTCCTTCCTTCCTTCCTTTCATTTTTAGACAGGTTTTCACTCTGAAGTCCTAGATGACCTGGAACTTGCCCTGTAGAGTAGGCTGTCCTTGAACCCACAGAAATCCACCTGCCTTTGCTTCCTGAGTGCTGGCATTAATGATACAGGTCATCACCGATTCTCCACCTGTGTCTCAACCCCTTTGGGGGTTGAACAACCCTTTCACAGAGGTTGCCTAAAACCATAGGAAAACACGGATATTTACATTATGATTCATAACAGTAGCAAAATTACAGTTACAAAGTAGCAACGAAAATAATTTCATGGCTGGGGGTCACCACAGCATGAGGAACTGTGTATTAAGGGTCGCAGCATTGGAAGGTTGAGAACCACTGACAAAGGCCAACACACCCAGCCCACAATTGACAATTTTTCTTTGGGTTTTAAGACAAGGTCCATGTTTCTGAATAAAACCATGTGCACTTTTTTTAAGATAAGATTCAGTTAATAGTAAATGCTCAGTCTGAAATTTGTCCAGATGCCTGTTTTTCACCTCTTATCTGGGGTGTGTGTGTGTGACTGAGTCTCACGTATCCCAGGCTGCCCTCAAACTCACTCCATAGCTAAGGATGACCTTCCACTTCAGAGTCTCCTGCTCCTACCTCCTGAGTGGTGGGATGACACGTATACACTATCTTGTCTGGTTCACGTGGTACTGAGTAGCCAAACCCGGGCTTCATGCATCCTGGACAAACATTCTACCTACTAAGCTACATTCTCCAGGCCCTTGGCATGTACTTTAACAGCATCCTTTTTCACTCTCAAAGTGTTTGTGTTTTGGTGATAAATCAATACTCCCTTTATGCTTTCATAATTTCTAACATCCTTCGCAATCCTAAAATATTAGATTTTCTGGCACAACCGACCGTGAAGCCTAATCCATTCATTACTGTTCTACCCTTAACCAGTGCTTGGGGATTTGGAGAACTTTGTCAACACCTGAGGCTGAATGAAACAGTCTAGGAGATTTAGAGAAAGGCATCTCTTTGGCCTCGTGTTTTACAGGAATCTGTCTGGTGAGGTTCTGGGCTAAGGAGACTGCAGGGTGGGGGTGGGGCAGTCATGTATTCAGCTCTGCAGTCTGAGCTTAACACAGATCAGGGAATTCCGGGGAGAGGCTCTCCTTACAGATGCACTGCTTTGGGTTAGATGCTGACAACAACATCTCCATGTTGGGGGTTTTGTTCCTTAAACACCAGTGACAGCCGATGCTCTAGAAAAAGATTCTCCTGCACTATGTTTGAGTTTCAGCCTCAACTGTCATCAGTTTGGTCTTCTGTAGAGGGGTAGAAGGAATCGTGTTCCACTTGGGGAGCTGTGGTCAGTATGCAAATAAGGAAACTTAAGAGAGAAACCTATTCTAGCAACTGCTGATTTCTAAGTCATTTCAACTTAAAACAAGAAGGGTAGGCAAGCCTGCAATCTCAGCCCTTGGGAGATTCCTGTTTGAAGTCAGGCTGGGCTATATATATATAATATATATATAATCCTGTATAGGAAGAGGGGAGGTGGGGGAGAGGGAGAGAGGCAGGCAGGCAGCTGGGAGTGTAGCTTACCAATAGAGTGCATATACAAGGTCCTGGGTTCAAATAAAATAGCATACTAACACTTATTTATTTGTCTGTTTGTTGCAGTACTAGCAATCAAACCCAGGGCCTTGCACATACTAGGCCAATGCTCTACCATGTGTTATATCCCTAAGATGAGAGAAGAGAATCACTTTTTAGCCTCTCTCTCTCTCCCCTCCCTCAAGTGGTCTCTATACCCACCTCCACTGCCAACATCTGTCATTCTGGGTTAAGCACAACAGTAGGAGAAATAAATGTAAAGATCTGCTGTCGGGAGGAATGAATGCACAGGCTATGAGGAAGGAAAGCTGGAACTCTGACCCACCAGCAGTTCAGTCAGAATTTCTTCTCTGGAAAGGCCTCGGCTCTGACTGTAGAGCTTTTGGACCAATTGCCTCAGACTGCCTGGACAATCCTAGGGCAATCTTTGATTTACAGATGTCAGATATACAGACAAAATAACTTTATAGTGACATCTGGGATTAGCGTCTGAATCAGTAACTAGGGACTGTAGCTGGCCCGCCAGACACATGAAAAACATCAACTATATGTGCGAGACAATGAGGGTGAACACAAGGTTATAAAAATAATAGTTTTGACATTGTAGACCCCCACCCACTGAGAAAGAATGGGTGGTCTTCCGGGAATCCCTATGACATGTACCTAGACTTTGATACCTTCTTTGTCAAAGTTGAGCCAGAGTTCGGAGGTGTTGTTTTGACCTGTCTTTTCTCAGGGAGGTTTGTTCCAAATGGTATGCACAGATGGGCTAATAAAGTTGCTTGCTTTTCTCTTGTTAATATGTCTCCTTTTTGGAATGGCTCAGTTGCCTTTAGCCTACTGGCTATGGGTGGGTTAGGACTTCTGTTGGTCTTTTCTGTGTCGAACACACAGATTGCAAGCCCAGCGCCACTTTGAGATCTTTGGCAACAGTTAACTCTGCAGCTCACACACGATTGAGCCTGTATGATAATGAGTATTCAAAGACGATAGGTGCTCACCAACCTAAGTCAGAAGCTCATTTATTAGAAAAAGGGGGATCTGTAGGGCCCTGCCCCCCCCCATTTCGGGTAACTGTTGCCTTGCTTGCTGACCATGACCTTGATATCCTCCCTATGCTAATTCCCTCCGGGGTTTCAACCTCCTGAATGCTTAAGGGAAGTTCCTTGTCTGTGTATCCTACATAATGGGTGTTAACAGCTTAGATGCAAGATTTCTGCCCTCCGGGGTTCTCCCATGGTGCTGTAAACCTGTATTTAAGACTCCCAGCCGGGCGGTGGTGGTGCATGCCTTTAATCCCAGCACTCGGGAGGCAGAGGCAGGTGGATCTCTGTGAGTTCGAGGCCAGCCTGGGCTACAGAGTAAGTTCCAGGAGAGGCGCAAAGCTACACAGTGAAACCCTGTCTCTAAATAAATAAATAAATAAATAAATAAATAAATAAATAAATAAATAAATAAAATATGTCTCCTTTTTGCCTGGCAGTAGTGACACATGCCTTTAATCCCAGCACTCAGGGGGCAGAGGTAGGCGGATATCTGAGTTCAAGGCCAGCCTGGTCTACAGAGTGAGTTCCAGGACAGCCAGGACTGTTACACAGAGAAACCCTGTCTCAAAAGAATAACAAAGACAAAATGTGTGTCTGAGTCTTTCAAATGTTGGAATCATAAGTGTGAGCCACTATGTCTGGCCATGTGTTGGGAATTTAATCCCCAATGTGAAATGTGACATGTAAGAAGTGATGCCATAATGAAGAGTCTCTCCCCATAGAAAGATTATTCTCATTATTGCAGGAGTTCTTGATTTAAAATTTTGAGTTTGGGCTGGAGAGATGGCTCAGAGGTTAAGAGCACCGGCTGATCTTCCAGAGGTCCTGAGTTCAAGCCCCAGCAAACACATGGTGGCTCACAACCATCTGTAGAGATGAGATCTGGTGCCCTCTTCTGGTGTGCAGGCATGTATGCAGGCAGAATACTGTATACACAAATAAATAAATAAAATCTTTAAAAAAAAATGAGTTTGAGCCAGGTGGTGGTGATGCACGCCGTTAATCCCAGCACTCGGGAGGCAGAGCCAGGTGGATCTCTGTGAGTTCAAGGCCAGCCTGGGCTACCAAGTGAGTTCCAGGAGAGGCGCAAAGCTACACAGAGAAACCCTGTCTGGAAAAACCAAAAAAAAAAATAAAAATAAAAAAAAAAATATATATATATATATATATATATATATATATATATATATATCTTTAACATAAAAAAGACAAAGGAAGCTTGGGAAGTGTGCAATTCTCAGACTGAAAGCAAAAGGCTGAGACCTCACTTGAATCCTCAGATACCAAGGCCAGTGTCTAAGGACCGGAGCCATAGACCCCAGA